CTGCTGCTGCTTGGCTTTACAATATGCCCGCTACCATTCCCTCTATCATTGAGCTACAACACGTGCTGCTTTCTTGCTGACTGCTGCTGCTGCTGGCTTGCTGCTGCTGCTACTGCTGCTGCTGCCTTGCTACTGCTGCTGCTGCTGCTACTGCTGCTGGCTTTACGATATCCCGACCATTCCCTCCATCATATGAGCTACCAACACTGCTGCCTGCTGCCTTGCTGCTCTGCTGCTGCTGTGCTGCATGCTGCTACTGCTGCTGGCTGCTGCTACTTTTACTGCTGCTGCTGGCCTACTGGCTGACTGGCTTTACATATCCCGCTTACCATATCCGCTCATCATTGAGCTTACAAACACTAGCTGCTGCTGCTGCTGCTTACTGTCCTGCTTGGCTGGCGTTACTGCTGCTGGCTTTACATTATCCGCTTACCATTCCTCTCAATTGAGCTTAACAACACTGCTCCTGCTGCTGCTGCTGCTGCTTGCTGCTGCTCCCTGCTGTGCTGCCTGCTTACATGCCTGCTGTGCTGCTGCTTGCTGCTGCTCTGCTGGCCTTTACATATCCCGCCTACATTCCTCATCATTGGCTTACAACACTGCTGCTGCTGCTGCTGTGCCCTGGCTGCTGCTGCTGCTGCTGCTGCTGCCTCGGCTGGCTTTACATATCCCGCTACCATTCCCTCATCTTTGCAGCCCTTACAAACACTGCGCGGACCCTGTGGCTGGCCTGCTGTGCTTGCTGCATGCTGCTGCTGCTGCTGCCTGCTGCTACTGCTGCTGCTGCCTGCTGCTCTGCTGCTGCTGCCTGGGCTTTACATTATCCCGCGTACCATCTTGCCTCATTCATTGAGCTACAGACACTGGCCTGCTGCTGAGCTGCTGTTTTGCCTGCTTGCTTGCCTCGCCTGCTGCCTGCTGCTGCTGGCTTTACACGTATCCCGCTACCATTCGCTCATCATGAGCATACAACACATGCTGCTGCTGCTGCTCGCTGCTGCTGACTGCTGCTGCTACTGCTGTTGCTGCTACTTGCCTACTGCTTGCTGCTGCTGCTGCTGCCTGCTGCTGCTGCCTTTACATATCGCTACCATTCCTCGATCATTGAGCTAACAACGACATGCTGCTAGCTGCTGCTGCTGCTGCTTGCTGGCTGCTGCTGACTGCACTGGTTTTAAATATCCCAGCTACCATTCCTCGATTCATCATGAGCTGACACACTTGCTGCTGCTGCTGCTGCCCTGCTGCTGCTGCTGCTGCTGCTGCTGCTGCTGCTGGCTTTACATATCCCGCTACCATTCCCTCATCATTGAGCTACAACACTGCTGCTGCTGCTGCTGCTGCTGCTGCTGCTGCTGCTTGGCTTATACATATCCCGCTACATCTCCCTCATCATGAGCGCTATCAACACATGCTTGCTGCTGCTGCGTGCTGCGGCTGCTGCTGCTGCTTGCTGCTACTACTGCCTGCGCTGCCGTTGCTCGCTGCTCGCTGCTTGGCTTTAACATATCCCGCTATCCATTCCCCTCATCATTGAGCCTACAACACTGCTGCTTGCTGCTGCTGCCTGCTGCTAGCTGCCCTGCTGGCCATTTGACATATTCCCGCTACCATTCCCTCATCACTTTGAGCTACAATCCTGCTGCTGCTGTTGCTGCTGGCTGGCTTTACATTTATTCCCGCTACCATTCACCTCATCATCTGAGCTACAACACTGCCTACTGCTGCTGCTGTCTTCTGCGCTGCTGGCTTGCTGCTGGCGCTACATATCCCGCTAGACATTCCCTCATTCATCTTGAGCACTACAACCACTGCTGCTGTGCTGCTTGCTGCTGCGGCCTGCGCTGCTCGCTGACTGCTGCTGCTTTAACATATCCGCTGACCATTCCCTCATCATTGAGCCTACAACACTGCTGCTGCTACTGCTTGCCTGCCTTGCTGACTGCTGCTGCCTGCTGGCTTTACATAATCCCGCTACCATTCCCTCAATTCATTGAGCTAACAACACTGCTGCTGCCCCTGCTGCTGCTTGCTGCTGCCTGCTGCTGCTAGCTGCTTTACATATCCCCGCTACTTCCCTCATCTATTGAGCTAACAACACTGCTGCTGCTACTGCTGCGCGTTGCTGCCTGCTGCGCTGCTGCTGGCTTATACATATCCCAGCTACCATTCCCTCATCATTGAGCTACAAACACTTGCTGCTGCTGTGCTGACTGCTGCCTGCTGCTGCACTGCTGCTTGCTTTACATATCCCGCTAACATTCCCTCCATCATTGAGCTACAAACCTGCTGCCTAGCTGTGCTTGCTGCTGCTGCTGCTGCTGGCTTTAATATCCGCTACCATTCCTCATCATTGAGCTACAACACTTGCTGCTGCTACTGCTTGCTGCTGCTGCTGCTGCCTGCTGTGGCTTTACATAGCCCGCTACCATCCCTCATCATTGAGCTACAACAACTGATTGCTGCTGCTGCCCCTTGCTGCTTCTGCTGCTGCTTGGCTGCTGTGCTGCTGCTGCTCACTGGCTTTACAATATTCCGCTACATTCGCTCATCATTGAGCTACTAACGGACTTGGCTGCTGCTGCTGCTGCTTGCTGTGCTGCCTGCTTGCTGG